GGGGGGGAGGTGGTGACGATAGTAGCTGATATTTATAAGTAACAACGGTGATAATTGGACTGATGACGACGGTAATGGTGTTGATGTTGGCGATGCTGATGAAGATGGTGATGACGATGGTGGCAGTGATGATGACTATGACGATGGTCACTGAAACGATACACACTTTTGTTGATTAGGTTAGACAAATATTGACAAACGCAGCAAAATTTTCAAAAAAAAGAAAAATTAATCGTCCTTATCGGAGCATTTGTGAATTCTTTAGGTAGACTAAAAAATCAAAAAAAAAGGAATACGAAAAGAAATAAGGAAGTGGCATAAAGATGAAAAAAGTAAGGAAGTTTTAAGCATGTTTCCTTATTTTTTTTTCTTTGCTAAGACCACTGGAAACAGAAGTTTTTCTTCCTTCTCTAGATAAAAATTGTCTGTGCGAGTTTGATAGTATAAAGTTTTGATCTTGGCAAAAAAAAAAAGCTATATAAACTTTTTTCCTGATGTGATAATGGTGATGAAGTTTTAAAAAAAAGGTTGCCAATTGTGGGATGCTTTAAAAAAAGCATGTGCTGCGACGTAAAATGATTTAGTAGCACCTCATTAATTCAGTCAACTAAGCTAGAGCCTGTCTTTGGAACGAGCTTAAAATTGGCTCAACTTGAACCCGTTCTCCTCACGTTCCTCTTTTTCATCTTCTCCACCGCTCTGTTCCCTGCTAATGATGATGGCCAGCAAACCAGGATCAAATCGCCAGCCACCCTTTTATGAAACAACAAATTGCAAGTGAAAATGAGTGAAAAATTGAGTAAGAGAGTACCAGTCTTTAGTTCGTTTAGACTTACATCAATCTGGTTGGACTTCTTGCAAACCGCTTCACACTAAGCTGTTAAATTTTCACCATCTTATTTCTTTACTCTTCCCCCTCTCCTCCATTCAAATTCTCGTTCCACCCACAACTCCTCTTTTCTTTTTTACCCCCCTTCCTCTTCACCTCTTTCACTACCACTCATTGCATCAGACTAAGCAAACAGAAAAATTTCGTTGACCATAAATTCAGTAAACTATTTCTGCACTTTTCACTTGTTGATTTATTCGAAAAAAAAACTGTAATTAGTGTTAAATTTTAAGCCGCAAAAATTTCACTTTATCGGCACACAATTTTCTTTACTGGCTTATTAGCTCTCTTAAAAATGTAAAATCGTGATTACATGACAACTTTTTCACGAATTTTTTAGAAAAAAGTGAATAAGTAGCTAAGAAAATCAAAGCGATTACAATGAATATATAACATCTAACAAGTTGAATAAACACTCTTTTTGCTCTAATTTATGTTTTATTTTTTATTTTTGACTTTATATTTGCTTTAAAATATCAGCACATCTATTTCAATACTTATTTCCAAGCTTTGATATCCATGAAACACTTGCTGGTTCTTGTTGTAGTACTATCACTGCTTTTTGTTGTTGGTTCAAATAACACGTATACTCTTAAGTACTGACGTAATCTTAGTAGCTACAGCAAAGTGCTGCTGTATCATCAACGATATGTAAACATGAAAAAGCAGCAATAGAAGCAGTATAAGAAAGAATCAATAGAAAGAAAGAAATTGGAGCACTGATGTAACGAAGGAGGTTAATGAAGAAATTAAGTGGAGAAATACACCTTTAGCTTATTTGTTGAGATTTGATAGGTATTTAAAGTACGCAACTGAAATGCCATTGGAATTGGTGTCGTTGTTGTTAACTACTTATTCAAGAAACTTTTATCGTTGTTTCTAGACAAGATAGTAAAGCGAGAAGAGTTTTCTAGTATTATTTTAAATATATATATATATATACTCGTTTTGAAGGCGTATGCAGG